ATCCATTCCCTCTTTCACTTTGTTGAAGGCTCTTACACAGCCCATCGAGATCTCCTCAACATATCTCTTCACAAATCCTCTCTTTTTTTTTTTTCATAATTTTACCTTTTTTACATCTTTAGTGTGAATGAGAGGTCCCAGGGTGTTGGAGCCAGAATCAGACTTGACTTTATGGTTACATTCTACATTCCATTCAGCACCTGTCTCTGGTGTGCAGCATTTGTGGTTCGTGTTGGATATCTCTCAGTCCAAACGTAAACATGAACCTCTTGGTTCTTGCTAACTTCCACTTGAACCATATGAAATTATTGATTGTTGATGACTGTTGATCTAAAAGAATCATGATTTCATATGGCTCAAACTAACAATTTTTAGATTTTTTTAAATGTTTATTTATTTTTGAGAGAGAGAGAGAGCACAAGTGGGGAAGGGACAGAGAGAGAGGGAGACACAGAATCTGAGGCAGGCTTCAGGCTCCGAGCTGTCAGCATAGAGCCCAGTATGGGTCTCGAACCCACAGACTGCGAGATCATGACCTGAGCTGAAGTCGGATACTAACCACCCAGGTGCCCCTCAAACTAACAATTTTATTGAAAATTAAATTTTTAGAGAAACTGAACTTTAGGTTCAGTTTGAACAAAAGGGAAAGTGGGTTCTTAAATGAATACCAAGGCAAATCCTGAAACACCTTTAGCAGAGCACCTCACCTTGGCTTTCAGATGAGCACACAGTTCCTGTTGCTTTCTCCTATCCTTTGCCAACGTGCCCTCCATGGCATGTGCTGCACAGGCCTCAGCAAGTGTCAGTACGGCCTTCTTCATAAAGTCTCTCCTGCTCTTATTCCAATTTGATATCAGGATCCTTCGCTGCTCCCTAGCAAAGCGATACTGATCACAATATTTCTCATGTTCCACCTGATAAGAGATGGTAAACACTTATTATGAAACTGAGCCTGTGCTTTATGTCATTGTTACAAAATGAATTATAACCAATGATTTTGAAAAATTGGGGACAAACATCTTAATATTAAATGTAGCAACCAGGACAAGGTACCAGTCCTGTAGTTCTGAGCTTATGGCTAACTGGTGACTAAGGACCAGCTTACAAGTCCTAGTTTCCTCGTATAAGATAGAGTCTGATGAGGCAGCCTTAACACAACTTCCACATCTATGTGGCAATGAACCTATGAACAGAAAGCATTGCTTCCCCTACATATAATTTCAAAAATACTCCATCTTAAATTTTTTTTTAACATTTATTCATTTTTGAGAGACAGAGCATGAGTGGGGGAGGGGCAGGGAGACAGGGAGACAGAATCAGAAGCAGGTTCCAGGCTCTGAGCTGTCAGCACAGAGCCCGATGCAGGGCTCGAACTCATCAACCGTGAGATCATGACCTGAGCAGAAGTCAGACGCTGAACCGACTGAGCCACAGAGGCACCCCCAAAATACTCCATCTTTAAATCAGATTGGGTATCTTAACAATTACTTAAAGTTCATCAGTTAGATACATGCTAATAAGCATAAAGTTCTATGATAACCCTAAAAATTCAGTCTGCCCTTGATTACTGAATGTCCAGGTGTTTGTATGTCTAAACTTGAAGGAATTCCAGCAATGATGTTAGCTCTTCCCATCCTACACTCCTGATGGACATGACATTCTCACATGGGTACTGGTAGTTCCTGTTGGCAATGCATCCCAACCATGGGAGACCTCAGAGCTCTGAGGGAAAGAATAGGAATGGAGATTGCCTGAGTGCCTGAGTAGTTTGAAAAATCTTTGTAGGTGATTCTGAAATGCTCCTTATATAAAGTTGTGTCTCCTAAAGTTGAGAGCCACACTGACCTACATAATTCTTTATCTTGCTAGTATAGACCACATCTCTGAATTTGGTACATTATTTAGCCCCTAAACAGCAGGAGAAAAGAATCTAGCAAGTAGGATAAGGTTGTCCTAAAATAATAATTTAGGTATGGTTAATCAGGGACATGATAAAACAAGCTATGGCTTCAATTAAACCAAATATCAGCTACCAAACTCTCCTCTGGAAACTTCTGAACTTTGTTCCTAAGAGCCAAAAATATACTTAAAATCTGTCAAACACGAAGAAAGGAAGCATATACCATGCAGAAATGCATACTAATGAGCCCAATATAAGAGGTGAGTATAAAAATCTTTATCATGTTAATAGCAGGTAAACATAAAAATTTACAAACTTAAAAATGACAGCTGGTCAGAGAAACAAATAGAATCAACAAGGAATAAAGAGAAAGATCTAATTTAATAAACTAAGACCAAAAGAAACTGGAGTGAATTATTTATTGTATAACATGTTTTTCATAAAACAGGTATCTGCTATAAAGGTGAGAATTAAAACAAATAGTTGTTGGGTGGGGGGTGGGGGGTAGGAAAGGATAAGAAAGGATGGTCATACTAGCTGTGGCCTTTGCTCCGGTTTCTTCATCTGTAAAATAGGAATGCAAATAGTACTTTTTCACCTAATGTTATGTGTCTTACAGCAGTTTAGATGACTGATATAAGGTAAATTTGATACACATGTTTGTCTTATTACTTGCTTAATTTAAAACAACTACAAAAATGCAAAGTATTTGATAATATTTTATAAGCATGGCCCATTTAGAAGTTAAGACTTTCACATGTGTGTTTACATATATGTTTTAAGGTGAGTTATTGTGAAGTTAATTGGTGACATGGTAACTTCTGTTTTCTTGTCTTTGTGGCCTTATTAACTAGAGAATGAAACAATAGTCTCCCAGGCCCTTCTCAGGGAAATTTCAGTCATGACTCTGAGTTCTAACTTGGGGCATGTGTTTCAGACCTGACTAGAGAGATCAAGCAGAATTGTCGAGGTGGAGATTATACACAGAAAAAAGGCTGAGATGCGCAGGCTTTGTGGACAGATGAGCAAGCACCCTATTTTCGGGCAAGACCCAGAGATTGCAGAACCTCTGAGGGTGGGCCAGTGACTGCACAGACCCCTAGAGGTCAAACACTAGCAAAGCAACCCAGGGAGCCACAATAAAGATCTCTGGGGCAAGTAAGCATGGGAGAATATATGTGGCCTGAGGGGTTCTCCACCTTCTTATGGATGATATAACTTGAAAAATGAGAGAATTTCAGGGCATTTGGGTGCCTCAGTCAGTTAAGTTTCAGCTCAGGTCATGATCTCATGGTTCATGGGTTTGAGCCCCATGTCAGGCTCTGAGATGGAGCTAGATGGAGCGTACTTTGGATTCTGTGTCTTCCTTTCTCTCTGCCCCTCCCCCTACTTGTGTGTTCTCTTTCTCTCCCTCTTTCTCTCTCAAAAATAAATAAACATAAAAAAAGAAAAATGAGAGATTTTCAACCTATAACCCTATTGTTTTCTAGAGTATAGGAAAAAATAATTTTTAGACCACCATTGTAGAAATACAAATTTTGCTTAGTTATTATGGACCACTGAAACAATTTAACTTGCTGTTATTAGGGTCCAGCACTCACCAAATCATGCCTAGATTTGTGAGGAAAATATCTTTGTAACATGTTGAGATACAGAGTCCTTCTACCACAGAGATCTGCAGGATACTGATCCAGAACAGCCTGGTAAATCCATTGGTCTTCTTCACTTAAGTGGAAATTTCTAGAAGCAAGAAAAATGTCACAACATATTGTTAAGCAATCATGGAGTTTGAGGGAATTCACACTGCTCAAGCTATTAGCAAATGGTACTGATTATAGAAAACAAAGTCTGGGGTGGTTTATTTATTTTTTTAATACATTAGCCAAATTAAATGTGTGCTATAGAAAATGTTCTAAATTCTAATAACACAGTGAGTTCTTCAATCCTTTATGGGTCTTGCCATGAGTTCCAGGCATAATTTCAAGAAGTTGCCAAGTGACATAATATTTTAGAAGTATTTATTCTATCTTGCCAAAACAATATTTTAAAAACCATGACCAATGGATGAAATAAACAAATATTGGAAAATAAATTATTAAGACATACAGGCTAAAAAGGAATTTTTATTCCTGGAGGAAAACACAAATGTAGATGATTAAATGAACAATTGTACAAAGGAAATTAAGGCCTGAGGAAAGCACTAACTTAGGAGTTGACTTTATTTTATTTTATTTTTTTTTTAATTTTTTTTTCAACGTTTATTTATTTTTGGGACAGAGAGAGACAGAGCATGAACGGGGGAGGGGCAGAGAAAGAGGAAGACACAGAATCGGAAACAGGCTCCAGGCTCTGAGCCATCAGCCCAGAGCCTGACGTGGGGCTCGAACTCACGGACCGCGAGATCGTGACCTGGCTGAAGTCGGACGCTTAACCGACTGCGCCAGCCAGGCGCCCCAGGATTTGACTTTAAAACAAGTCTAAAATGATCATCTATTCTCTCAAGTTCTCACTTTGTGGGATTAAGACTAGATATTGTTAGTGAGCAGATTACCAATGGTATTAAATTTCAGACCACTGAAGAAATCATTTGTAAATAGGAGCTCTTCAAAGTCCTATCCAATAATATGTCTACCTGCTCCAAAATGCGTTTTGCATTTCAGAATACTCGTAGGCACTGGCCTGGTTTGTGTTCTATAGAAAGAATTAGCAAAGCCCTATGCAGAGTGAAAAGGTTGCAATATCAGCTTGATTTCTAATCTGAATTAATGTCTCTTTATTATTCTGGGTTTATTTGCATATTGTTATTCCTGTTTAATAAATTGGAATAATCAAATACAGATGCAATCAGAGTGAATATTATTAGCAACAAGTATTTATTTGATCCAAGATGGAGACTTGCTATTGTTTATTTCTACTAGATCAATGATCTTCTGCTTTAAAGTTAATTGTGCAAATCACAAAATTTACATAATATGTCTTCTATGCCCTTGAAAAATATTTGACAATTGAAAATAGAATAAAGATCTCTTTAAATTAGTGATACAAATGGGATTCCACTGTCCTCATACAAGGTTACCTAGTTTCTGTAAAGCATTTCAGTATTTCGGTAAGTAGCAAGAAAGAAAAAATTCTTTTTCAAAGATAGTCTTCACTAAGCTCTATAATGGGAAGAAAAGAGGGTTGGAGGTGTTCTACCAGGAAGAAGCATACTCTACAGTTCTTCTGTATGATGTAATAATCTATTGCAGAGAAAGAATTTAAGATGAACTCATTCATCGAACACACTGAATGCATTGGTTCTGTCTGAATCAGTTATGAATGTGTAGACAGTAGAAGGCTTCTGCAAACAAGGTATTTCAAAAAGGGGTATTAAGCCTGCAGAAAGGCCTGCAGAAACACCCTCAAGTCTTCATGGACAATGCCTCAGGTCCTCTCTCCAGGAACTCATTTTCATTTGTGATAACAAAAATGCATTTTAATAGCAGAGTCAGCCACATAAATTTTTTAATAACATTTTTAATGTTTATTTTTTCTATTAGAGAGAGAGAGAGAGAGAGAGAGAGAGAGAGAGAGACAGTGTATGAGCAGGGGAGGGGCAGAGAGACAGACACAGAATCTGAAGCAGGCTCTAGGCTCTGAGCTGTGAGCTGTGAGCTGTCAGCACAGAGCCTGACACCGGGCTCAAACTCACAAGTCGTGAGATCATGAAGTGAGCTGAAGTCAGACGCTTCACCAACTGAGCCACCCAGGCACCCCATCCACATAAGTTTTCTTTTCTTTTCTTTTTAATGTTTTTATTTATTTTTGAAGGAGAGAGAGAGAGAGACAGAGCATGAGTGGGGGAGGCACAGAGAGAGAGGGAGACACAGAACTCGAAGCAGGCTCCAGGCTCCAAGCTGTCAGCACAGAGCCCGACCCGGGGCTTGAACCACAGACCATGAGATCATGACCTGAGCTGAAGCCGGACGCTCAAACGACTGAGCCACCCGGGCGCCCATAAATTTCCTATTACTACACCACAAAAAACAAAAAAGAATAGGCCTGAAGTCCATGTCTTCATTTATGAATTTCAACTGTTTCTCTAATCAAAGGGACTTGAAAATGACTCCCCACCTTTATTTGATTACAAATATAGGTGTGTGTGGTGGGGTGTGTGCTGAGGAAGGGAAAATAATAGAACTGAGGTCCAGTAAATTCTCTGTTCTTTTAAGTTGTCATTCATCTATATAGCAGATGCTGTTGTTGCCTTGTTGATCTCCCTTGTTAACCAGAATTCCCATCACCAAGATGCTGATAATTCACAGATGCACCTCCCTTTTCTGGAGAATTTGCCCTGGACCAAATGGGAAGTGCCTCACCAAGGAGGCTTCTCTCCCACCCGTTCTTGAGGGCCAGTTGCAACCAATGTTCAGCTGATACGGGGGTACCAAAGTCCAGCCTACTTGCCTCACGATAGAAGCAATTCCATGATACCATTCGTGCTCGAGAGTTTCACTGTGGCAGCAAACTGCAGCCCATTTCTACTGAGATCACCTCCATGCATAGATATTTCCCCCTCCTCTTTCCTTCTTCCCTTACCATCCTTCTCCTGAGAGTATTGCCCAACAAATCACTTGTTCTTACAATTCCTGTTTCAGCTTTCCTTCTACAGAACCTGACCTACGATAATCTCGAAGCAATCTTACCCATAATTTTCAAAAGTAGTTTTAGTCCTTTGGTAAATGGAGAAGTACTTCTAAGCTAATTGCTTTGATGATCTCTCATACTGAATGGTGGCGCAAGATTGCGGCTATACTCTAAGAGAAAGTGCAAATAGCAAACATTTACAAAAATGCCTTTCAAATAAAAGCACACATTAACGGGTGTACATTGCCATAAATAAATGTAGCAGCAGGAGAATTTGTGGTACTGAGTGCGTTTTTATATATTGTGTGAATGTATTAATTAGGTGCCATTTTAGTGACAACATTAAAACCACTTAAACATATGAAATGATAATATAACAGTAAAACTATTTCAAACCACATATGTCACAAATGATCCATTTTTGCTCTTCTTATTGATTTTAGAACCCTCACATCTCAACAGCTTTTTCCAATTACCATAATTACGCAAATTGTAAGTCATTTTTCTAATATACATAGAATAAAAACTAAAAACAGGCTTTAAAATGATATATAAATACTCACAATATTATTATTTTAGAGTATTTATAGCCATTTCCAGAGCCACGGGCTTAAATTTTGAGGCAAATATTCACATCAGCAATAGTAATGGCTCAGTCATACATCTCCATTAGGATGCAGTTGGTGAGGGAGAAAGCTCCCACCATAATATATACACTGAGTCTTCTGGATAGTAAAAATCTAGGAGGAATATTCAAACATAAGAGCCTCTTCACAATAACAAAATAGCTGTTCCCTTTTTAGCCTCTAAAATAAAATAAAATTTAATAAATCTGCATTTCTAACTTCCAATCTGAACATTACCTTTACTAATCAAACATCTTTCCATTGTGCAGAAAAAATCTATGTAAGATAGCTAAGCCATATAAAATAACTAAGGTTAGCTTTTACCTTCCGAAGTTCTTGTTTAATTTAGTTGCTCTGCTGCTGATTATAATGACAGAAGTAGCTAAACCACACACCTATTGAAAAATATTCTGATCGCTTACCTATTTTCTCAATTTGGAAAGTTACTCCATAATTTTAAAGAAAAGTTTAATGAAGGCTTATAAGTCATCCTAAATTTTTGCAATTTTTAAATTATCTTTAGACAAAATATCTTTGGCAGGTTTGTATAATTTCTATTCTTTTTGTCCATCCAAAATTTCTAATTTCAAAGGTTTCATAACTTTCATCTTTATAACAGCACACCAAGATTTTACAGTTTCCAGGTGTATTGGGCACTTCCAACAGTTGAGGAAATTCCAGACTTCAGAAGTGTGAGATAGCTACCACTCGATCCCCACCCACTGTTCCTGCCCCATAATGAAGTCCCATGATACAATTTCATCATGATATCCTAGGATGTGAAACGAAATAGGTAATTCAGGAAAGGAGAACCATGGCTGTAGGAATCCAACCACACCAAGGCTGACTGTCTCCCTAATTCTACCTGTCTGAATCATTCCAGAAATCCTAAACTGACTCACAATTAACTTAGCTACCAATTTTCTTCTTAGTCATGTTTAAGCCTCTTCCTTAAGGTTCTGGCTCCATGACATCAAAACACATTTGTGGTGGGGAAGAGGTAGAGAGGCAGCCAATGGTGGCAAGCAAGGTACATAAGGGTAAAAGGTACTTTAACACCAGGAGTAAGTCTATGAAAATAAACATTGTGCTTACAAACTGGCTCAAAGTTGTTTTATAATTTTCTCATAGTGAAGGCAGCTTTCCAGCAAAATGGTAGTATCTCCTGAGGCTACCTGATACATCAGACAGCTGGCTCGAGATTGGCAACTGGCCACAGTGAATCTGGCCCAAAGAAAAACTCTTAACTCTTCTAGTGTTAACGGTGGCAGGAGACACCTAGGGCTCCTCCACTAAGAAGCAGGATTGCAGTGAAACACTGGAGGATTAATGTGGATAAAATATAGCTCTGACATAATCTGCTTGTCTGCCTGTATTGGGTCTGACCCTCTAGAAAATACAGCTTGACTTTACTTTTTAATGTTATCTTTCCATATCAGACTCAAACACTGAATCTAATCAGCCTGGTTCTTGAAACTGTCTCTCTCC